AATTTATCATGGTCACTGCACGTTCAAAACGCATTCTGGAAAGTTAGAAAACCTTTATATTTCTCACTCCGATTGAGATTACTTTCTGTTCCCCACAAGCTGATTGTTAGATTTGTGAATGCATGCGTGCTACCCCACTGGTTGTATTGCTCTCCAGTAATTTTTCCCGGTATGTTGAATAAAGATTTTTATTTACTGGCGAGATCTCTAAAACACATCTCTAAATGTAGTGGCATTGTCAGGGATAAACTGGCCGATTCCATCATTGCCAGACACCTACAAGCATGTGAAAATTTCGCCGCCAAAATACTCTCAGACACTCACCACCCATTACACAATGAATTTTCAAAAGCTGTATCTACATCATCCACACGCTCCAGAATTAAACTTTTATTTGCACGTACCTGTGCTTATCGCAATTCTGTTCTGCCATATCTAGCACGTCTACTTATAGACAGGGACACAATTTCCACAGAATTGCGCAATCGCTTGCTTTATTGAGAAACACAATATCTACTGCTTTCATTGTGCTCACTATGTACGATTTTGTAAATTTGAATCCACAAATATGATGTAATTGCTGAAAATACACCCATCCGGGTGCATAAAGCTACTACTGACTTGACTTGACTTGACTTGATATATACGCGACGAATTCACCTTTGAAATTTAACCAAATCCTCCATTACTCACTCGTAATCCTGCTTGATCAAACCGGGTAGGTTAGCGATCGCCAAAAATTGTCTTGTTTAGCGATGGGCGGGACTGACTGATGATATTGAGATTATTATTAGGTAAAAAGCACAGTTTCCCCGTAACAACTTTGAAGAGAGAAGCGAAAAGCACCGATTCGCACAATGTATCCTGGGTCATTTCGCTGCCTGTGTACACGTGCATACCATCCCCGACTGTATAAACAGTGTGTGTGGCTTATCACTCTGGCGCTACCTCGGTAACAAATGTGTTTAGTGAGTTATTTTGACTGCAATCTTTCTTCGCCAATGGTTCTGTTATTTCTGACCATGTATTAATGATCACATAAACTGCAGTATGCACGTGTACAGATGCAGCGAAATGATCCAGGATACATTGTGCAAACCGGTGCTTTTGATATCTCTATTCAGGTCCTGAGGTTAATATTACTCAACAGACTGACAAACCTTCGCGTCAGTGGCTAAACCTTATTGGTTGTTGACGCACACACCAAACTGGAAGATTAGATCAACTTAGCGGAATAAAGCGGAGGATTAGTGCCACTGGTAAATAAAGCCCGCATGAGCATTTGCTGCGTTTTCGCAAGGATGATTAACACCTGTTCGGGGAACAAAATAGTGAAACGAAACATGCAGGTATACACACCGAAGGAAAAAAACCTGAAAACTGTACGGTTCAGTTCACATCTTTTTCCCGAAGAAGATAATAGCTGATTTTACCGGGAGAATTTGCAAAACAAACAACCCCATCCTTTATTCTTTTCCTACTGTGTGACCCCATAGCATACGGGTGTGTGTGTGTGTGTGTGTGTGTGTGTGTGTGTGTGTGTGTGTGTGTGTGTGTGTGTGTGTNGTGTGTGAAAGAGCAGAATAAGCTATCGGACAAACGAGGCTCTAATAAGGGGATTTAATCCTTTGATAGCCGTTACCACATACAACTATAGTTCACAATGCGTTTAAGGACTGAAGAGTGGGGGAGTTCCCGCGGTTGCATGGATAGAGAGCGGGGCTAGTGAACACGCTTTGAAAATCAACAAAAACGAATAGCTCCATGCTGTGTCCAAATTGGAGAAGGAATTTATGTATCCGGTCTACCATGCACATCCCCATGATTATGACTAATTGCCACCTTACGCTCAGCGGGGTTACTGAAAGCCATCATTCACAGTTAACTGACCCAGTTACTCTGCGGAGCAATGTGGCCTATTAAATTTGAATAGAATGATCATATAAACAAACACAGACAATCTGGGATGAGGGGGTACAGAAACAGATTTCATTTATTCTTCGCTTATTGCACCGGAACAAAACATTGGAGAAAGTGTCTGAGGTTAAACCACTCCAGTGAATACAACGCAGGGTGTGTGCCTGTGTAAACAGATTCAGTGTGTAAGTTGCGCAACTGGGTGTCGTCCGCTGGAAGACCGTGGTTTTCATCTCAAATCGGATAACCTGTTCGAAATGCCATGGAAACATTCACGCATCTGTGTGGCGCCTAACCTCAAACATAGTAAAGCAAAATGTGCACGGGTAGGAGGAGGAGTTCGACAGGAGTAAAAGATTGCGGAGCACCTGCTGAGAGTCAAGTGGAGAAACACAAGGTGGGTATCCAGGACCGTTCCCATACGTTAGGAACATTTATCGAATCTCAACTGCTTATCGAGATGATTGAGTGTGCCTGAATAACGATGATATGAAAGGATTTTGCGCAACTGGTTACACGAGGAACACCCATTAGTACTTCTCAGAGAACCACCACGCCATGATGTTACATCAAAATGCGATCATCCTATGCTTCCTCCTTTTCTGGTGCGCGCGTGCGCGGGCGTTCAAACATACACATTCTTGTTTTTTGAGGTAGCGCTATTCCGTTCATTCACTTTGCTAAGCATGAACGAGCTAGCCCTAGCCTGGATTTCTGACATCATTCTCCGTGTCAAGTCAACTGAATGCTTGGTACCATTTCCACGTATTGATCGACCTCGATTTGTTAACGGTGGTGTTTGGGAGAAGAAATAAACATGCACATATCGAGTGCCATGATAACCTATCAAGAACACTTTTCAGTGATAGGAGCTTTATTTTCGTACCAAAGAGCCTCTTATGTTCGGATACAGCCTAACACGACAGAGTAGAGTAGCGCGGCTTCCTTACTGATCTGTTTGCTGGCATGAAGAACATGGCTGAATACATCTTGATTACTAGGATAGAGTGGAATATGTCTTAATATTTGAGCACTGGGTACAGGGTGATCATGAATATTACTTATCCACAAGTTGGAGCTCTTCGCTACACCCTGGGGAAGGAGTTAAATACAACGACGATCCTCATTAGGGATCGCTCAAACCAGTAGGTATCGATTACGTAAACATATTCAATGATCATTATATCAAGTGTCCGGATCTGGATGCCTGCATCATCGTGGACACAATCGTTGCTGCTTTACCTCCCTACTTCTAATTGTCTGGTTTAGCTTGTGAATAACTACTTTGGTATATTTGTAAAAATTAAGATATATATATTCATTCAAAGATTAATTATTGGTGTTTAAATGATCTCAACAAGGGGGTCATCGAGTTTCCACTGTGAAGTATCCCTCGGAAACTGTGGATACACTGTTCAATTAAATTGTTTCCCAACACAAGCATGGCCCAGTCAATATGGATTATGCCAATATCCAAACAACCCAACCGCGTTAAATTTGGATGATTTAACAATAACATGTCAGCAGATTTACCCTCCACGAAGCGCCATTCCTAGTCAACTTTAACTCGTAGTCTACCCACGAAACTAAGAAACTGTGCACTATATGTCGACAGTCGTATGTTTGCATTGTTGTCCTTATCGATTCCAAGCTCCGTGGTGGCCTAGCGGCATCCGACGGGTGAAGCCACCGCAAATAGAATAACTAGTCGGAAATTACCCATTTCGGTGAGTTGTAGTAAACGGTGCTGACAACAGCTGTCATGAGGTTCATACATTCACGCGTGTGCGTACACACACACACACACACACACACACACACACACACATTCGGCGTGCGCTCGGATGGTGACCAAGATGCGATTTATTGCGTCGTTTACTGAACAATCTCGCACGGTTTCAGGTGGGAGAGAGAAAGAGAGAAAAAATAGCAACTAACCAAGTCTAGGAGTTTTTTGTGGCGAATCCTCATCGCCATCTTGCTACTGCTCACTAATGTGGTCAAGGCTGAACAATAAATACTTTATCAGGTTTGAAGAAATTACACCTCCTCCCCCTCCCGCTCCACTTTCTCAAGCCGATGGTTAACGTGCATCAGAGAGAACACATGTAGAATATCACGCCATCACTATTGTTGCGACCACCTGTAACACTCCCAATCGGACTACCGACGGAAATGTAATCCGTTGAATGCTTATTTTATCTACCCGAAGATAGCACAATAAGTTTTATTTAACAAGTGGCACAGTACATCTACCTTCCGATGTCCTGACCCAAATGAACTACAACTTACAGTCGGTGAAGATGAAATGAGAGCAAACTTGAGACGGTGATTGTGGTTAGCCCTAATGTGCAGTTGCAATACACACGCCTTCCATGCGAGGATTCCAGAGTTGAATTCTTCGACGGACATTACTGATGCGCCGTGACAACAGTGGAACTGGAGTCTATACGCTTCTCAGGTTAAGCAACCCGGACATCAAATTCAGCTATTGTGTTACTACGAGCGGAAAGCGATGCGCTTCTGAACCATTCGAATAGTTTAATTGACTGGGTACAAGTACATTTCCCCGATGAATGGTAACTACAGAGCGCACTGATGGGACGCATAATCGTAACATTACAAGAGACTTCCCTTCCAGAAAGTTTTCGATTCTCTCCAGCGTTCTATGGATATCGTTTTTTTCCCTCAAGTTCCTCGATTTTCTTTCGACTCAAACCAATTGAACCTAATCAGGGGTGTAGATAGCACGATATCGGTCGGAGCATGAGAACACTGACCAAAACAAAGTCCCGTTTTGTGAATACTTCACGAATACCTCAAAAGTAAAACCATCCCCATATCAGAGATGGGTGATATTCAGTTGTCTGTCAGAGTTGAACTCAAACCATCGCACTCAAGAAGCCACCACGATTATCGTGGTGAGCCGTCTGCAACCTAGAAACCAAGATTAGAAAACACCTAGGGCACAAAGAGATGACGGACTAACGCAAACACAATTAGTTAGGTATCAACAACATCCATGGTCAGAGGAGAATATAAGGATCGCAGACATGTAATCGTACAACTGTAAAATGTTTTAGATGACGTATTTAGTGATGCCTGAAAGTCTTCTGTCGGGTTAAAACTGAATTTTTCTCCTTCAAAATATTCACCAACAATTCATAGAATAGATCACAGTACAAAAATACTCACCGTTTTTCCGTTCCGTATGACTTCTGTGCCACTTTGGCATGTAAAATGATCAGTACTTGGTCCCTACGATCAGCCAGGTAGGCACGCATCATCGGTCTTGTGAGAACTCCTAGTGGCTCGACCAGCACCGGTTCTGCGCTTGCTGCCCGTGCCGAAGCCGGCCGAACAGTGGGCAAGTCTAGAAAATCCGTATCCCCGAGTGGCTTTGCCCCAGAGTCGCTAAATCGAGGTGTATCCAAACCAGACTCCGTGGGATTGGTTATTGGAAGCTGCAGTATGCCAGATTTGAAACGTTTCAGTGTGCTGGAAGAGAAACCACAACTACCAGCATCACCACTACTTGTCCCGGTTGCAGAGTCCTCTTGTGATCCAGATTGAATCGATCGATGTGAAGGTTGCAATCGATCAAACAGATGGGAACGCAACGCGTGCGCCGACGCTAAAGGTGTGGTGGACGAAGAGGAGGACAATGTAGATGAGTCTGTCGATGCCTGATGGGCTTCGCCAAAGGTACTGTAAGTTGCCTGGTCTGGGGTTCGATTCAGCTGGGCGTAATCGGTGACCATAGACGTGGTTGAGTGTTGATGAGCGGTGCCACGATTGATGGTGTATGGGTCCTTGACAGAGACTGGATGAGTTTGGTTAGGGTAGGAGATACTGGTGGATTGAGAACTCTGGTCGAATTGGACAAGGGACCGCTGTTGTTGTTGTTGCTGATGCTGCTGTAAATGATCCAGATCCATAGCCTCTGGTTCTACTTTTGTAGTAGTTAAAGACGAGGATAGTACACTTTCGAATAGTCTCCGGTCGGACAGAGATCCTTCAGAATAGATAGACTTTACAGACTTGGGACTAAAAGCCAAGTGGAGGGAAGTAGGGTGTGAGAGAGAAAGAGAGAGAAGGTTATACCTACGCATGGTCGTAGAGGGTTGTTGAAAAGATCTGATCATGCTTCATTCTCCATTTTGTAGTACGTAATGTCAGTCTGCTGTTTAAATTGAACACCTACTGTATTGGAAAAAATAACCGAAATGAGTCTATCTCGTCAGATGATCTTCAGCAACGAAAATGTTTTTTAGTTCTTATCGCCTTTGTATTACAGCTGAATACTGTAGTTGCTGTGGCTCATTAAATAGAGTGTTGATTGTACTAATACACTGTAATTTTATTATGCTGAAAACAAAACATTGGAAAACAAGGTTCAATAGAAGAGGTTAGCGATAACGTATAAACATGCTGAGAAGCATGCAAGTAGCAGATGCGGACACTTTGTCGAGGAGTGGTAAAAAACCTGTAACCCCTTGTTTTGAGGTTTCCAGAAAAGCGTGGTCCAGCCCTTCAGTTATTACTAATGAACAAAAAGATCCGGAAATGCGATCAGCCTGATCATACCTCACGCCTAGATCTTTATTATTTTTCCATTTGCATCAGTGGTGTGTCTATTTCACCATCATCATCATCATAATCATCATCATCATCATCAAAAATGTGCTCATTATAGCGTACTATGCCAACTCATTTCAAATCGGTTTGATTATCCTTACCGTATCGGATAATCTGATTATTGCTTAAAAATTTCTCCTCCAAATCATAATTTTTCGAAAGTTTTCAAGTGCAGCTGTACTGTTTTGCTTTTATCCTAAACCACCGAACCTGCGTGCAATGACTGTTCTCCCGATTGCCAATTGGTTACTATCAGGCATCTTGATGTCACCTATGACCTGAAATGATGTTCTCGTATTCTGAGTACCGGTGGTAAATGGGACGGTTATCCTTTCATATTCGCAAGCTGATACAACTCTCAAAAAAAATCATCTACTGTTTCATTTTGTCATAATGTGTTTTACTTGTCATTCTCCAGTGTTCATTGCCCTGTAATTAGCTGCCTTTTGTTCCTTCACATGGCCCCCCTCATCACAAAATTATTTGTGATCTTCATATTGATTCTGATGTTAGTTATGTTCACAAGATCATTCTCATCTTTCAACTATGTCCAATGTTCGGCTCATTCCTACCAGGATCAGTATACATAGAAATATAGTTTTCCCACATTTGGCCATTTTCTGATTCTTCATGTATTAATGTTCGCCGTTTGTGGTTTTCTGTAACAGCGTATTATGACTAGATGATGATTATGATTGGAATTGCACTGCGAAATGTAAAGTATAAGCTGAAAAAACGATTTCATATCCTCGAATTCGTTCAATAAGACCTTCATGAACCAGCTTTTTATGACACTCGGAGATTGTGAATAAACTTACTCGGTGCCGGGGATGTGAGCCTCAAATCCACCGTAAGGGTTAGATTGAGATAACGAATGTTGCTGCGATCCACTTCGGCCAGCAGCAGTCATACCGGTCAAATAAGGTGGATACAGTGGGTAGTCCGTGACGGAACTGCGCTGTGCGGCCGATGCGGCTGCACGAACAGCGGCAGCCGTCGCACTCAGTCCGGGCAAATTGTACGCGCCCGAAGGAGCCATTTGATGGGATGGGATCGGGGTTGAGTTTGTATGATTGTTGTTGTTGTTGCCACTACTATTCTGCTGACTGGAAGCGAGGTAGTTGTGTGCGGGGTTTGCGGATGCGGTGGACATGGCGGAATAGAACTGATCATATGCAGTGCCCGCCGAACCGGTTGCGCATCCGGAAGAGGTCAGGGATTGGAAAGAAGCTACCGCGGCTGCAACCGCTGCGGCGGGGTAGAACGTGGCGGACTGTGGAGTCAGTGCAGCGGCAGTGGACGGGTGCACTGTGGTCGGTGGTGGTGGAAAGATTGGGGAAGCCGGATTCATGGCTGAGGCGGCAATAAATGAGGGATAGGTGGCCGGATTTAGAAGATAGGATAGCTCTGGACTGGCTGATTGTGATGTGGTTGATGTGGGCAATTGCCCGGAGATCGAACCGGCACGAGAGACCAACGAATGCATTGTTATATCAGTTGGACCATTCGGTGATGGTGGCACTGCAGACGGAATAACAAAGTTGGGATGGGATGAGAAAAATGAGAAAAAAAAATTAAAAAAGGGAGACACTTACAAATGAATGCGTTCGTTTTGATTGATCAACTAACAATCAACCCAGAACTTTTGGTCAATAACTACTGAACAAGGTCAGTTGAATTCTAACAAATGATCATGTGTGACATGTGAGTAAGAAAGTGAGATGAGTGCAATTAAGATAATCTACCCAGCTTTTAAAAAACTGTTCCTTATAATGATCACTATAGCAAGCCTCCCAAGGCCTCAGTATGGTTGGGGGTGGGTGTCTAGGGTTGCGGCTGGTCACCCTGCCCTTGCACCTCACGAAATGCCCCCATACGACCAAGCGTCTCAAATAGCCTCTGCTGAGGAAGCCGTACTCACTGCCTTCTCGCGGCAAAGGTGTTTTCCCATCAAAGTGAGAG